CTATGCTTAGATCAAAATTAAAAAAGAGGGCCTACTCATCTCCAAAAATAAACATTATTAATAGTAGTAAAAACAGTATCCATAGCTTAATCCCAGAGAATATCAGAAACATCATAAAAATTGACATTAGCCTCCTTACAGACCATTAAATACAATGGGCAATGACAGAGTCTGAATGACCCTGTCACAAGCAAGCTAAACCAACCACTGGGATTTCTTTGTTTTCCAAAGCTGTGTTTTGTCACAGAAGGTTACCAGATTCATGTAATCATATTTATATACTGGTATAAACCATGAGAAAGTGTCAACTTGTTTTGATGCAGTTTGATCTCTTCACTGGTGCATACAAAACCATAGAATTAGGAAAGTATTTGACTTAAGTTCAAAATTTGAATGTCAAATATTTAAGTTCCAAATCAAAATGTGATTTAACATTGTTATACATTAACTGTTTCACCTATAAATGCAGAATTTTGTTTTTTTCATGAGAAACATATTTTGTATCAATATTTTGAAAGTATTCGACTTAAGTTCAAAATTTGAATGTCAAATATTTAAGTTCCAAATCAAAATGTGATTTAACATTGTTATACATTAACTGTTTCACCTATAAATGCAGAATTTTGTTTTTTCATGAGAACCATATTTTGTATCAATATTTTGAAAGTATTCGACTTAAGTTCAAAATTTGAATGTCAAATATTTAAGTTCCAAATCAAAATGTGATTTAACATTGTTATACATTAACTGTTTCACCTAATGCAGAACTTCTTTTTTTCTCTCATGAGAAACATATTTTGTATCAATATTTTGAACTTAAGACTTGTTTTAAAGACTGTTTCAGGATCCTGAGATAATTCAAATATGAAAGCATTATCGCAATTTACGAAATTTCTGAAAGTTTAAGCATCATTCTTGAATATTTCAATTCTGCAGCAGAATATTAATGTTATAATTATAATGATCGGGGAGGGGGCATAGGACACAGCAAGAATTGCATGAGATCATTTATAACTATTGTTGCACAACCTATTTTATCGAAGAAATTCACTGACAACAAAATAATTTTAGAAGTTTTTTCAACATGAAAATATGCCATAATATCATAAAGGGTACAGAAATTATTAAACAGTGTTTACTGAGTCAGAGGAAAAATCTATAAAATTTTATGCCTGAAATAACATGGACAATTGTATACAACACTCTTTACAGATCTAGGAAAAGAAAAGAAAAGATTGGAATTCAATTGTTTCACTAACACATCAACCTTATAAGTATTTTTTATAATTTCACATGTGTAGTAATATATGAAACTATTTTTTCTACAGAGAAGCAGTAAAATTTACGAAATAAAACCTGGATATAACATCAGACATAAAAATAGTAAAATGGTCAAAATAAACATCTTTTATCAGACTTATAAACAGTGGCCAACATACTTATTCTCCAACACAAAACTAGTGTTAGTTGTCATAAAAAATACAATGGCCATTTTTTGTTATCATACACAAAAATATTGAACTAAAATTATTTCAAACTGACATTATAAACATCGACATTCCAACCCTTTCTTCCGGTATAACTGACCTCAATATTATTGCACTGTCATTTTCTTCATTTGAAACATATATAATCACAATAATAACAACTCCGAACCATTTCAGAATGTCCATGTTTATAATTCGAATATTTCTCACAAAAGTGAAACTGAAATGATGACTATAGCGACCTTTAGATTAAAAGACGGCAAGTCTGACTAGACCACAAACCAATCACAAAACCTTTGATATATATCTAATGCTAAAATCACAAGATTTAATATCAAAAAGGAATTAATATAAAATCTAAAAAAAAATATGGCCTGAAGACAGCAATTTACTGTTAACTTACATGGTTTAGTACATAGTAGTAGTGTCAGTAACACTTAGCATGTTTGAAATATTGCACTAAATTATGCAATTAGTTGCAGCTTCTGTGTATACATATAGTTTGATTATGTTAATTATGGGTGAGTCCATTCTTGGACAATGTGCTAAAATTGATGTGTGCTAAAATAGGTACAGTTACAGTATTTATTTTGTAAAAAAAAAATTGTAACAAAAATCCGTCACAACACAACCAAGCACTAAAAGCATAACGTACAGATTTACAAGGTGACTAGATTTGGTACACATGGGACTTATTAAATAAAAAGATCATAAGATGTTATCAGTAATATAGCTCAGTGGATTCAAAACTGCAACAGACGTCAATTTGATACCTTGAATTCGATGCACTCGCAGACATATTAATTAAGACATTTTGAACATATTTTTAATTTTCAAATTACAGTCCATACTTAAGAATAAGTTTTTCAAATTCAAAATATAAGCTTATTGTTCTCTACTCTGCATTATGTACTTGTGATCAGCTGTATTGTGAACACTGGTACAACTCGTGCCCAATCCCTTTTGTATAATAGATGCAAATAAAATGTTTAAAATCAAATACTGGTACAACCTACTTTCTGGACGAAGTCTCCTTATTGTAATAGGAGCGGAAAAATGCACAGCCAGACAGGGATTCGAACCTGGGACCCCACAAAACTCTAGATCAAAACGCTCTACCAATTGAGCTACCCGGCTACAAATGATCAACCCTGTCCAGTTTTGCTACATACCTAAATTTACATGTACAGTGTATTATAGACATTCCTGAACAAGTTATTTATCAGGTTTATCTAACTTGAGTTGGTTTATTTTCTAATTGTATAAAGACACGAGACTTACCGAGCGTCTTTAAACAATTTGAAAATCTACTCCTGTCACATAAACATGATAACCAGCAATTCGAAGTATATCAACGAAGGGGAACAACTCTTATCACAAAACCTTAAAGCATCCAACTCCCCACGATTCAATCTGAAAACTTCTTTGGTGTCGGTTTTTCACCTTGAACCTGACATGTAGGTGTATTTACCAGCGCCCAACCTTACACTAGAATTCAAACTGACATGATAAAAGTTGCCATAATAAAACCCTGATATATGATGCAGAATCGTATAATCATGCCTCCCCCTGTAAATCGGTTAAGGCACAAGGAATCATGTACTTTATTTAAACAAGTACCTGTCTATATCCCATATATGTATTAGTGTACGGGTAAATTATCTGACACCTTGTTTGAAAACATCACAACATGACTTATCCTATCAAATTTTCTACAGATTTCAGACAATATATCCAGCACTATATGTATACATGTATATGTAAGATGACACACGTTATTATATGGACCTGAGAGAGTGATACTGACCTAACCTTCATCTCGGTTAATATAAACTTTTTCAGGTCCATATAACCACATATTCACCTCAACTAAAGTCCATGTTGCAGACTTGACCAGAATGACACCGGACATTCACAAACACAACTGCACCGAGTGGGCACCAAAAAAAACTGAGTGATGGGCACAGGTGGTTAGGACTGAAGAGTTGTATAAAAACCTCTAAATGACAATATTACAGGGACATGGGTGACACAGGTGTAGTATGGTGGGTGAGAAAGACTAAACAGCTAACTTTAGGCTTCAGATCTACATTGTTATATATACAACGATGAAAATATTGTTATCACTTTATCAAAAACACCTACAGCTTAATTATTCAGTAAAAAGACCAAAACTGGTTTATGAATTAACGTTTGATTAGGTTTACCACAAACAGAAGTGGACATTTAATAAATCCCCAACATTTTCTCTCTATATATCTTTTATATATATATTTGCAATTCAAACAAAAAAATCTTACTCATTTCAGCCTTCAGATATTACTATACAGTACCAAATTTTAAAAGGATAAAAAAAAATTGTATAAAATGGTTTCTAATTATGTATTTACAAACAAGAAATGGACACTACAAAGAAAACCAATAGAGTAAATGTCGAAGCAGTCGATTGCGGTATCCATATATTTGTCTCCCTTTAATTTGCTGGTTCGGTTTGTTTCCTTCTCTGAAATCTTAAAATATGCCATCAATAACATGAAATATCCAAGCTGCCGTAGCGCTACGTCTCTTTGGAAACGTATGATAATCTGGGACTTTTAAAAACATACAATGAATCGTAGATTTTGCCAGGTACATTTCAAAGTGCATTATTATAATGATAATTTATCACAAAATCTTGCTTTGAAAATTGTGATTACGAATAAATATTCAAATAGTGAATCACTACATTAATTTGTATATATGAAATATGAACATATTTAAATTACCTATATACACATATATTTACATTCCATAATATAATCACTACCAGAAAAAAATAGTTTGTAGGGCTAAGAAAGCAATTGGATCAGTGTCATTTTGAAGCTTTGCCATCAAATAATATTAGACAATCTTTAGTAGCAAACGTTTAGGTGATGTTGTGCTGTTCCGGGAATATTGTTTGTACTGACGATACAAATACTTTATATCACAAATACCTGTAAATTCAGAATGTAAATTTTATGTATTGAACAGAATTTCATTCAATTCCTGTATGAAACGAGTCATACAGAAACTTTACATCAAACCCTTTATGAAACAAGCCATACAGAAACTTTACATCAATCCCTGTATGAAACAAGCCATACAGAAACTTTACATCAAACCCAGTAGGAAACAAGCCATACAGAAACTTTACACAACACCAGAAGATGTCTGGGGGTAGAAGTTTCATAAACCATTTACAAATGGGCATATTCAATGGCCGACAGGTTATGGCTTTCATCTAATCTACAAATTGTACATTTGTTTAAACATTGCTTACAAAATTTTTCTATCTTTGTAAATATACATCTCTTCCACTAGGTATGCATTCTTTTTGATTAAATTACACAATTATTCCATATGCATTCCATAACGTAAGACATCATAAATAAAAGAAATGTGAAAGTGTTTCTGAGATCTGGTACATTCTTCGCAACATTCTAAAATTACTATTACAGCTTGGCATATGTCTTACAACACCGTTGCTATGGTAATATCTCATGGTAACTCACAACACCTTGTTATGGTGATCCAATGGTAACAGCTCAGTTTCACAACAGTTGCCATGGTGTTTCCCAACAATGTTGCAATGGTGATCACATGTAACGATTTCACAACATCGTTGCTATGGGGATGTCATGGTAATGATTTCCTATCGCTGTTGCTATGGTGATCCCATGGTTACTGTATCACAACACTGTTGCCAGGGTGATGCCAAGGTAACTGTTTCATAACACTGTTGTCACGGTGATCCCATTGTAAACTGTTTCACAACATTGTTGCTATGGTGATCCAATAGTTACTGTTTCACAACACTGTTGCTATGGTGATCACCAGTGAAAGATTTTCTTTAAAAAGATAGTTTATTAGCAAAAATAATGTAAAAGACTTTCTAAAATTTAAGATTCTAATAAAAACTTTCAGTAAAGATTTCCAATACACATCACCAGGTATAGAAAGATCAATTTGACAAATTAGATGTACTTGAATACAGAGCAGTCTTTAAAATGGCAAGATAAATAAAAATCTTATATAAATTTTGATACATAATTATTCAAGAAGTTATATAAACAAAAACTATGTGTTTCCTCTACAATCAATTTTTAACGTTTAAATCATCATTGCCTCAGTTTCAGCCATGATGGATGGACAAGAGTGTGATGAATGTTTCAGTTCTGTAGGTTACTCGCCCTACAGTCTTATTTCAAAAGTATAAAGGTATGTACATATATAGAAAAACGGCCAAGTGTTGTCACACAAATACAACCTGTTATTTACTTTGTGCATAAAACAAAACAAAAATCACTTGATACATTCACGTAGCTTAAGCATCCTTTGCAATCACAACATCAAAAATATCATTCATATAAATATGTACAATAAAATTGATTTCTTTGTCATGAGTTCAAACAAAACATGTTAACAGTGCCATACACATTGTACAGTATCCTGTGATATAATCAGGACAAAACATCATATTGTTTTGCGAGAATATCCAGAAAGTCGTTGTTAGCAGTGACATGTTCTTGACATTGTATTCTGTAACCAGTTCTATGTGACCTTGACATTGATTTTGTTAATAGTTGTGTGTCCTTGACATTGTTTTTCTGTAAACAAGTCAGTGTGACCTTGACATTGATTTTGTTAATAGATATGTGTGTCCTTGACATTGTTTTTCTGTAAACAAGTCAGTGTAACCTTGACATTGTTTCTGTTAATTGTGATGTGTCCTTGACTATGTTTTTTTCTGTAAACAAACCAGTTTGACCTTGACATGGTTTTCTGTATTAAAGCAATGTCATGTCCTTGACTCTGCTTTCTGTCAGCAATAATGTGTTGTCCTTCTGCATATAGTGGTGTGTCCTTGACATTATTTCCTGTAAATAGTGGTGTGTCCTTGACATTATTTTCGGTAAATAGTGGTGTATCCTTGACGTTATTTCCTGTAAATAGTGGTGTGACCTTGACATTATTTCCTGTAAATAGTGGTGTGTCCTTGACATTATTTTCGGTAAATAGTGGTGTATCCTTGACATTATTTCCTGTAAATAGTGGTGTGTCCTTGACATTATTTCCTGTAAATAGTATGTGTCCTTGACATTATTTCCTGTATATAGTGGTGTGTCCTTTCATTATTTTCTGTAAATAGTGGTGTGTTCTTTACATTGTCTTCTGTAAATAGTGGTGTGTCCTTGACATTGTCTTCTGTATATAGTGGTGTGTCCTTGACATTATTTTCTGTATATAGTGGTGTGTCCTTGACATTATTTTCTGTATATAGTGGTGTGTCCTTGACATTCTTTTCTGTATATAGTGGTGTGTCCTTGAAATTGTGATGTCTCCTTAACACTGTTGTCTTCTGTCATTGAATTTATCCTTGACATTGTACTCGCTGTTTGACCCCTGATTCTGCTGCTAAGGATATCTCCATTTGGCCTTCTGTGCCAATATATCACTTTTGAGGTTGTGAGCAAAACAAATCCCCAGTATCTGTAACACATCAAAATAAAGTTTCAAAGAAAGTACTCTTTTTAAGGGAAATTTAATAAATTATAATATTTGTACATTGGAAATGAGATATTTTATGCATTTTTTTCATAGTTATTCCAGAACTTGCAACAAATTATCAAGTTGGATAAAAGGAATATGGTATGTAACAATTTTGTTACAGTAAAGTGTAATAAGGGTAGTGATACAGTTATAGGGGACACATTGAAGGAGTGTTTATACATTTTTTTTATTTATTTTTTATTTTACAACAATCATGAAACAAGTTATATTAGTTTATATTAATTGTTGGCCTAGATGCTAGTGCTGGGGAGTCATGATATGGAAGGAAACCAGAGTACCCAGAAAAACTCCACGTGGTCTGCAGGCTGGTGACCTATACATCATCACATTGAATCAGGGAATTGAACCCCGGCTGTCTTAGTGAAAGTGTGCTACTAAAGTGCCACCCAACCATATTACACAGAAACCTGATTGAAGAAGAGTGTGCTACCAAAGTGCCACCCGACCATACTGCACAAAAACCTGATTGAAGAAGAGTGTGCTACCAAAGTGCCACCCGACCATATTGCACAAAAACCTGATTGAAGAAGAGTGTGCTACCAAAGTGCCACCCGACCATATTGCACAGAAACCTGATTGAAGAAGAGTGTGCTACCAAGTACCACCCGACTATAGTACACAGAAGACTGATTGAAGAAGAGTGTGCTACCAAAGTGCCACCCGACCATAGTACACAGAAACCTGATTGAAGAAGAGTGTGCTACCAA